GAGATAAGAGTATCCATTTGAATCTGGTAAAGGTCCTACCAAATCCAGATGAACATGGTCGAAACGAGCATCGGGAGTTTTAAACGAGCCTAAGGGACATTTATTGTGTCTGATAACCTTAGATTTTTTGCAGCTTACACAGGAGCGTGCCCACTCCCTCACGTCTTTATTCATTCCAGGCCAGCAAAACCGTTCTGCTATAAGCTTGATGGTTGCACGAACACCTGGATGCGAAAGTTTGTGCAATGTGTTGAAGACATTGCGTCGATAATGTTTCGGCACGATTGGGCGATCCCTACCTGTAGATGTGTCACAAAGTAAGGTTTCCTTACCTGTTCCCATCTGTTTGATGCGTAGTTTAAGTGTTGTGGACGATAACTCGTGCTGAAGATCAGTGTCTTCTTTTTGAAGCTCGGCGAGTTTAAGAAGGTCGATTCCTTGGAAACTGTTCAAGGAAGTTATACGAGATAAAGCGTCTGCAACTACATTGTTTGCTCCAGAGATGTGTTGAATATCTGAAGTAAACTGCGAAATGTAGTCCAGTTGTCGAGACTCACGGGGAGAGTACTTGTCAGAAGGAGAGCTTAACGAGAAAGTGAGCGGTTTATGGTCCGTGAAAAGAGTGAATTCACGACCTTCGACGTTGTGTTGGAAATGCCGTACAGCACAATACATAGCTAGGAGTTCCCTACCAAATGTGCTGTACCTCGATTCGGTGTCTAGCAACCTTCTAGAGAAAAATGCCAAGGGTTGCCAGGAGTTGTTAACCCATTGTTGTAAGACTCCTCCGATTGCCGAGTCGGATGCGTCTACTGCGATACTAATGGGTGCTTCGGTGTCCTGATGTGCGAGCATTGTTGCTTTAGCAATCAGTTCCTTAACTGTGGAGAATGCTTTTCGTGCGGTGTTGTCCAAATTAATGGATTTCGCATTTCCACGAAGTTGGTCGGTTAGAGGTTTCATGAGTAATGTGCATTTCGGTATGAAACGTCTATAGAAACTTACGAGACCGTTAAACGTGCGTAATTGCTTGACGGTGGTCGGTTCTGGGTAATCCAGAATGGCCGCCACTTTGGTCCTAAGAGGTCGAATGCCTTGAGCATCGATAGTGTGTCCTAGGAAGTCTAACGAGTCGGTTCCGAATTGGCATTTCTGAACGTTTACAGTTATGCCATGTTTTTGAAGTCGTTTGAAAACAAGATCCAGATGCTTGAGATGTGTTTCTCTGTCCGGACTTGCGATTAGACAGTCACCAACATACGCGTGTACGAAGTTGAGACCTCGAAAAACGTCGTCTATGAATCTTTGGAATGTTTGAGCAGCATTCCTTAGACCGAAAGGCATACGCAAAAATTCATAGAGTCCGAAAGGAGTTATGATAGCTGTTTTCGGTATGTCGTCAGTAGCCATAGGGATTTGGTTATACGCTTTAACCAAGTCGATTTTCGAAAAGACAGTTGTACCTTTCAAAGTAGCTGTCAAATCGTGAATGTGAGGCAACGGGTAACGATCGGGAATGATTTTCGCATTCAATCGCCGATAGTCACCAGTTGGACGCCAATCGTTGCTGTCCTTTTTAGGGACCATGTGCAACGGAGATGCGTATGGGCTACTTGACGGTCCTATGATTCCTAAGTCCATCATGTGATCGAATTCGTTTTTCGCTAACCTTAGCTTTTCGGGAGCTAGTCGTCGTGCTTTAGAGAATACAGGTGGTCCTGTAGTCGTGATGTGATGTGTAACGTTGCTGGTTACACACGGTAGTTTCGGTTGAGTTTGTTGTATCCCAGGGTACTTATCGAGTAGTGGTTGATAGAGTGGGTCTATCATATGTTTAACTGTGACTGGGGATACTCTACAACCAGTAAAAGAAGTTACGCAAACGGACAAATTAGTGTTTCCGTCTACTAGCCTCCGTTTGCGCGTGTCGATGATCAGATTGTGGTGTTGTAGAAGGTCCATACCAATGATTGGCATAGAAACATCTGCAACAACGAAAATCCAGTGGATGGGTTTGCGTAAACCCACGTTAAGGTAAACGTACCTTTTGCCATACGTAGCGATCGGTTTTCCGTTTGCCGCCTGTAAGTTTAGAGCCGAATCTTGAAGCCGATCGTTCGGATTCGCTGGGAGAACGCTAACTTCTGCGCCAGTGTCGACGATGTAGCGAACTCTTGTTGTCACATCTGTGACGAATAACAGACGGCTTTGCTCGCCGGCTACGGTTGCCGTTAACACGTGCCGGCTTGGAAGTTTCCCGAATTGCTTTTCGAATCAGTCGGTTTCGTGTTGGGAAAATTGCAGGGTTTTCTGCAATTTCTGGAAAACTTTCCATACTAGTTATGATACCAGCAACAGTCGGGGTTATCTGTCTCTCGTGGTCTAGAGGCAGATCGCTTACGTGAAATGCTTCTACGTGGAGTGCGCGATCTCTTACGGTCGGTACGAAGACTAAGATAGAGCGTGAGTGTATGACGTAAATCGGTTATATCATTCTGAGTCGTGTGAGGCTTTTCTTTGACTGAAAATACCTCGGTAGTAGAAGGTTTCGTAATTTCTAAAATGCGGTCGGCAGATGCAGCTAGCTCGTGTAAGGCGTTGTTCTGGAACGAGACCAGAACTGCTTGCACCTGTTGTGGAAGTTTTGACAAGAAGAGTTGTTTGAATAGACCTTCGCCGAAAGTTCTTGGGCCTATAACCTCTCTCATCCGTTGCAACATGTCTGTCGCAGAACCGTGTTGCAGGTCGATGTTATTGAAGAGTTGATCTAACCTTTGTCGATCGGTTAGGTCTCCTCGTTTAAGAATCGAGCGTTTTAAGATTTCGTAAGGATCGGAAACATCACTAGTAAACATACTAGGTGTTATGTACCTGTTGAATTCGCGCGGTAGTGCCTTGACTACTGCGAGGAGTTGTGCACGTGTGTCGATCACGCCGTGCTAGGAGAAGTCGGCTTCTGCGTAGCAAAACCAGGCGCCTTCAGCTAGGTGAGTCCACTAAAACACATGGTCAGCATCCAATGTCGAAAACTTAGTGCTATTTATTTTGGGGATTTATTTACCGCTACAGCAAGTTTTGATGTATCTTCCTTATTCACTAATGTACCTATCAGTCGAGCTATGGATATTATCAGTGATTGTTTAGAATCTGATTTATATTTGAATTTACGATGCCCATTAGATCCATCAGAGGTTATAAAATGCTTAGAATTATGTTTAAGATCTACCTTATTCATATTTCGAGGTCAACTTTACAGACAGAAAGAGGGTATAGCAATGGGCTCACCAGTTTCTCCGACTGTAGCGAATTTATTCATGCATTCCCTAGAAACTAGTGCAATCGCAAAAAATTTATGTCCACCAAAGTTATGGTTAAGGTATGTAGACGATATTTTTATTATCAATAAACGGGATGGTATGGAAGAACTATTTACCAATGTAAACAGCATTTATGAAAACATTAAACTAACTGAGGAATTAGAATCAGTTGACCACAAACTAGCATTTCTAGATTGTTTGGTTGAACGTCGACACAATAATAAGAAGTTTAAAATAAATGTTTACAGAAAATCAACACATTCCGAGAGATACTTGGATTTTAATTCAGCCCATTCACAGAGCACGAAAATTAATGTAGTAAAAAAATCCAATGAACAGAAGTACTAAGATTGTTACAGACAAGGAAGACCAACGAAGCGAATTAAATAAAGTATTTTCTACTCTTAGGGATAACAACTACCCAAAAAGGTTTTGAAATAAGATTATTAAAAATGAAAGAAAAACTAAACTAGATAATATACGAAAAGAATGGAAGTACACTGTAGTCATACCTTACCATAGTGAAACATCAGAAGAAATCAAACGGATTCTAAACAAACATGATATAAGAGTATATTTGAGAGCGAATAGCACATTAACATCGACATTAGTGAAAGTTAAGGACAAGTTAGCAAAGGAAGAACAACAGAATATTGTGTACGAGATTAACTGTCATGACTGTTATGCTACCTATGTTGGAGAAACATCCAGGCATTTGAATGTAAGATTGAAGGAACACAAACAATGCTTGAAAAATGTTCCAAAATCCTCGGTCGATTTAAAGGAACTTGAAAATAAGTCAGCGATAGAATTACATGCGTTAGAAACAGGACACAAGATTAATTTTGAAGGGAACAAAATACTTCAGAAAGGTTTTAACACCCATAAAGAAAGATTGACAGCAGAAGCGCTGCATATATGGGCGAACAAGACCAGCCTGAACCGAAAAGATGGTATTCGACTGGCAACTACCTGGCAAGTTTCGTTTGACAAGTAAATTTGGAACCCATCTCTTGTTTAAACCTGTTTTTTATATCATTTTTTATATTATTTTTGAAAGAATTCATTGAGTTTTTAAACAATACAATTTATGTTTTGACATGTACATCGATGTTTCACTATCAACTTTCCATCCTTGAACTTGAACCTTATTTATTCCTTCATATCAATCTCTCACACATACATACATACCTACACACTCACACACATACGATTTGTTACTCAGTTAAGTATTTCCATGTAGTTGATTTCTTCACATGATTTCTAGTTAACTAACTCATTTTATCCTATTTTACAAAAAATCAACATCCAAATATGATCGGTTTAACACAGTATAATCCTGATTGCTAAAAAGCTATATATTTCTTTGATAATTTTGATTTTGATGATTACCCTGAAGAAGTCCAGACAAGTCAGCTGGACGAAACGTTGGAATTAGTTAAATTTCAATCGCTGAGAATATTTCAAATATAATTTTCACATATAATGACTTCTCTATACTCGGCGCTCAATTACTGTCAAATTATTCGTTCTAATCTTGACGAACACTCGTACAGACAATGATGTTTTTTCTGAAACTCCAAATATTTTTGCACAGAAGAATTAAGGAAAACGTAGGGAGTTGTGAAAAATGTTTCATCAACTGGGGTTGGTGAGTGTGAATATGCAGTCCAAACCACAGTTTTATGAAAGTACTAGAATAGACGGCTGGTTTGAATTGCTTTCTACGTAACATTCTGACTGATACGTTAATATGATAATCAAATGAAGAAACACAACATTAACTCGGTTTACCACTGAAAAATGATCACGTTATCTAATTATTGAAAATATAAACATACTATTTGAAGATAAATTAACAAACAGTGTTGATTTGTGACATGTAATAAAGTCTAAATTTTTAACTGTTTCAGACGAATTTAAGCCTATCCGTTTTACAATGAAAGTAATTAACATGAACCAACTGTGCATTAATGATTGTCTGCTACTGATATCGACAGATATAATTAGTATGTGCCGTCAATCGAAAGTGAAATGCCTGGTGGCAGAAGGTTAAGAAGATCGAAGAAAAAAGGATGAAAACAGAGAATGGTTGGTGTGGAAACGAAGGAACAATCGAGTTTGAGACGATTTATTGAGATTTTACAAATGAAGTATTTATTATGTGTTTTTCAGATTTTACTACGGTATTCAGTAATTTTGTATACAAATACATGCGATTGTCCCCACTTGTGTTCTCGTTCACTACAATAGTAGTTCCTCTGAAAATGAAAATAGAATTGGGGCATGTGATAAACCTATTTCTAGTTTACCGTCCAGCATGAATCTCAATTTCACTACTAGCATTGTTAATCTAACGAACGTGAAAAGTGATTTGCTTAGTGAACGACGCTCCATCAACTTTGGGTCTGACAGCCTAAAAGTATTAACGAGTGTCATGTAAAAGGTATATCTGAGATACTAGTGCCTTAACATGTACTTTTAAAATGAGCTACATTAAATAAGCAGTTAAAAAATACATGATAAAACGTACACTCCATTTCTAAAAGTATACAATGAATAAAGGGATGAAGTAATCCAGTTCACAAGCTGTAAATTAAAACGCTGAATAAGTGAATAAATCACTTCATTATAGAACTAGGAAATATGTATAATTATCATGTATTTATTACTTTTAACGATAATTCATTGATTAGATTACCAAAATCCCATACATAAACAATCCCACTTGTACTTCCAGTAGCAACAAGTTTAGAACTAAAATAAAGATGAAATAAATGTTTGTTTAAAAAAACATTGAAAATGTGACTTACTCTTTTTCATTAAGTTTCGCAGATACAATTGTACTTTGAATATCATTATTAATTTGAGATGTCAATGTATACAGTAGTTCACGTTGAAGACTATACAGTTTCTCTTCATTAAAATAATTGTACATTGGATTAATTTCTTCATCACCAGTTAAATCATAAATAAGTATATGATGATATTCGGTTATACAGAAAAAAATATTTGATAAATATGAGGAAAATTCAACAACAAGTATTGAACCATAATTTGGATCTAAACTTATTAATGGAGATTTTTGTAGTACATTGAAAAGCTAAAATTAAACATATAAAATGAAAGAATTCAACATTTTAAAATTCTCTAATAATAATGACTTGCTTTATTAAATTTCAATTATTTATTAAACTATAAAGGGAAAGACTTCATTTTTCATAATGATATATTGTTTTTAATGTATATAAAACAAAGTTAAAAACTGGGACATTAATATTATTACGTGAGTATATACTTTGAATCATTTCTTAAGTCATATTTTGACTGAGATAATGGGATGATTGCTTTATCTTTACAATTTTAGTTACATGTTACTTAAGAACTGTAAAGCCCGGTCATAGGGATCGAACAAGTGGGATTCATTTTTTATTCTGATTTTAAACATATCAGTCAAACAGTAACTGTTTTAATGGAACTTAATTTATTTCAAAATCAACTAGTTTAGCTCAGTTATAACCGAATTTTTGATTGAATGATCAATTAATGGTAACGAAAGTAATATATATAGTTGAGATCATGAGTCAATTAATGCTAGACCACCATGGAAAACCTGGAGGCACTGGACGGCCGTTTCGTCCTACTGCGGGACTCCTCAACAATGCGCATTCACGATCCCACCTCGGGGGATTCGAACCCAGAACTTATCAGTCTCGCGCACAAGCGCTTAACCACTAGATCACTGAGCCGGCATCCAGTGGTGCTAATATCTAACTTCAACTAATCCACGAAATTGAGTGACACGTCCACCACTGTCATCAGTGAGTTACTGTCTCACAGCAGACCCGGTTGAACTCCACTGGTCACTGCTTCTTACCAGAACTCCGGGATATACCTCTTGAAGTCAGTCATTAGTGAGCATATATCGATTTTATTAGGAGGGACTTTGGGGAGATTGAGGTAATTTCAATATTTGCTCTAGCTTCAATTGACTCATGATCTCAACTAATGAAAGTAATACAATCTCCACAAAACCCCTTCTGATATGTATGTATATATATATATATATATATATATATATATATATATATATATATATATATATATATATATATATATATATATATATATATATATACTGCTAATCGATAGAATCCAGTCTTTTCTACGGGACTGGTCACTTGTAGATATGTCATTCCTGAATAACTCAGTGGTCTCAGAAAGTGAATCTGAATGATACAGATCCAAATATCACAGAAAGTATTAGTTCCTTCAAAATTCCAGGTATATCTTGATGACAAGTGGCTATTGGCATGTAACTTTTGCCCCGTTTTTTTCCTCGACTACCTGGAGCTATCTAACAAACAAATTAACGTTTGCTTAATTCGGAAGCAGGTTTCATACAAATTAGGTTGTTAGCTTTATTTATCTGTAACAAATGAAATGGAATTAAGGAATAGTAAAACAAACCAGAACTTTTTAATTGGATAAAATAAAAAAATGAGATATGTGGTTAACCGATTCCTAGTACTTATCATATAAAACAGACTTGACGACTGAATTCTATTCATTTTTCAAACAAGATAAAAGGATGTTTTACAATCTAAAGGGATACAATGTTGCCGACTTTGATGTCAATCAATGTTTATGCATAAACAGTATACTTGAAACCATGTTTTTAGAATAGAAAGTTAGCTTCAAACTGAGTTGTTCAATATTAAGGTATAAAAATTCACTGCAAATCGTTGTAATGTTGAATCTCAGAAATTAAAACTTTCTGAAAATGTAATGATAGGCTTCCCCCTCATAAATACTAATAATTAAACAAAAACTTTAATTAATAATCAGATTAACTCGAACAAGCATGAATATCTCGAGTTGCAAATAACACTAATTTTACCATGCCATTTTGCAAAACATGGTATTGTATGTTGAATTATTATTTACATTTCGGTGATTTAAAAGTTTCTACATTAACCATATTTTTCAACTGGTTATCTTTTTTATTCATACCTGAATACAATGATTGAACCCACAAGCTATAATAAGATTGGGATAGAATTTACTCCAATCTACTGAATAAATCGGACCATCTTGACGAGCAAGTGAAAATCTAACCGGTGACTGTATGTATTCTTCCAAGGATTCTTCTGAAATGAAAGTTGAATTCAATTAATATATATCGTGAGCTTATTTTAATTATTTGAAATTTTTATTCCTTAGCTTATTATATCATATAAAATGATTAAATTGCTGTATTTGTGAGAGCATGATCATGTGACTAAATATGAAATACTGTTATTTTCAACAAGACGTTGATTTAGACCAGTCCTAAAAGGGAAAGAAATATGGTTCAAACATTCTTGTATATTTGCTTAAGTCGTTCATAAAACTTAGAATGTTGTGGGGGCAAATTACTATACCCAGAAATATACCTCTATCAAAGAGTTAACTCAAATAACGAAACTAAACAGTCTTAATGCATACCGTTCGACATAGACAATTTTGATGACAACTCATCAAAACATCCGACCGAAATTCAGTTAGTCACAAAATACATAGAACCTGGTATACAGGTACATCGGTTCAAGTTACCACTGTAAAATACTTGGTAGTTGTAAATAAAAGCGTTTCATGTACCTAATGAAAGACATTCAATAAAGAAGCTTTGGAAATAATTCGAGTTTTGGACTGTTTTTTTCCTTTGTCTAGTTTAATGTTAATCAGCGTGAAAAATATTTTTTTTCTAACCGGAACATTAAATAACATCTTCAGACATGTACGAAATAAATAAACTCTTCAAGTTCAAAAGTATATTGTAAATGAATTCTGTAAATGTTGTTAAGTGTAATAATGTGATACTCACTATATGTTTCATTCCAGTTAACAGAATTTATTTGACATATTAATAGTCCTCCTGTTTCTGTTCCAACAACAAATTTTTCTGGATCATTTTTAGCTAATGAAATACAAGTTATATTAACTGCTCTGTCACTATTTATTGTTTCGGATAGATCTGACCGAAAGAGACTGCATTTCTTTAATGAATTAAAATGGTTGGATATTGGTAAAGGACTCTGATCTTTATGTCTTATTTGAAAACTATAATAAGAAATCAAATTGTAAACATATTCATATTATTATTAAATCGAGTAAATTGATAAATTAATATCAAATAACCAGTGGAAGCGACCACTTACCTCAGTATTTCATGTCTTACTGAGTTATAGAACTAGGGAAAAAATAATTTGTGATTGTAAAGAATTATTAACTACCATATTATTATGACTTTTATATTACTAAATGATCACAAAACTTATCAAGACTTCTTACAAGTGTTGATAAGAAAATATGGTGAGACTACAATTTATGGACGACATTTGAGCGACGCTAAAGTGACCTCGAGAGTGTTCACTTAATAACTAGGACCAAATGAGGGTTATAAACCAGTATGAGGAATTAGAGTTATGATTTACAGTTGATGGTTAGGGTTAAAAATTAGATTTATGGTTTTCATAACGAACTGGTATCAGCTATAATGCCAAAACTCTATTTAGCCTAATGGAGGGGTGGATTTCGCACCAAAATCCGAGACCTGTTATCCTATACCTGATCGGTTTGTCCATAAACTTTAGTCACGCCATACATTCTTTTCAAAACTATTAGACGTTAAGTTTACATAAAATTTTTATGTTTATATTATACATTTAATTTACAAATTTTGACATCAATGAAAAAATAAAACCCACGAACTGAGATAATCATAAATAAAGTTCTAAATTGATTGATTCCATAAACATTTTATATTAGTTATCAAAGACACTATATATTCCGTATGAACTATAAATTAGTGATCAAAAAGATAAACAAAGGATATCTGTAGATTGATATGTTATCCGAAAAAAAATATATTGAAGTGCCATGGATTTGATACAGTGTAATTGAAATTACTTGCTTAGGTGGTATATGAGGTTTTTGCTAAGTTTTATAGTAATGATAACCATGTACATACCCGCAAATAGCTTGGAAACGGATTTATCAACCTCCTATCAAAACACAGCGACTTACAAAGTCAATTGAATAGGTGGTGTGACTTAATGATATCATTGGGTAGCGATAACGTTTTATCACAATAATCTTGAATATAAAAACGAATATCATAAGATTGCAAATCAGTAGTCTTCAAGCTGCGATACCAGTAGGTCTCAGATTTGTTATGGTATACAGTCACATGTGAACATTATTTCAGGAGTTTAAACCAGGCTTATAATGGTTCTTCAACTGATGTTAGTCTTTGTTAAAAAATCCTTTGCAAAAATTGCACGTCATAGCAATTGGTCAAAAATGCAAAGAAATATAAAGATATATTCAATAAAAACTAACCACTTACATCTTAACACAGTTCACATTTCCTAAGTGACACAGATCAATTCGCCAACAAACAATTCTTCCATCACTTCCTGAACTTAATAACTTATAAGTTGTTGTATACCGACTGAATTTTTCGGAAGTTAGATTTTGTAAGTTAGACTCTAGACTATCTCGTATCCAACTGATTTGATTGATACAATCCTTATGACCACTGTGCATACTTCCGATACTGGTTAATAGATGATCATTTTCGTTGGTACGATTCCAGACGACTAAATCTCCTAGACAACGGTAGATAAACAACGCTAAAAACAAGAAGTGATTTGACGATGTGTTTAAATAATAGGTGATGTTAGAGTTATTTTGTATCTTTAATACATGCCTGAGGTATTGTAACAACAAACGAGCGTAGTAGAGTTTATCCATGGAGTACTGATGCTAACCTAAAATCGATTAATCTAGCTGTGCAATTCATTGACTGAAGATGCGTAAAACAGACCCCAGTCACCTTCTACCTGAAATGTAATAGTTGTTAGAGCTTGAATGAAGTAGAGGACGACTAAAGACAGCTAAACTAAGACATGACATCTGCCCATGGGTTTATGGGCTTTTGCACTGAGTAGTATTTAGAAATGTAGATTACCTAGATGGGATCATTGATTTAATTATGATCTTCAGTTACAGTCTTTAAGTAAGCCAAACACATTCATTTTCCCATCCATCCTGAATTTAAAAATTACTTGATACTTCTCACTCTGTGGTGTCATTCATTCTCTCAAAAGCTCATTACCTGCATTTATTTATCATTAATTATACAGTTATAAAATGATATTTACATTAATATAATACAATTTATTCAAGAATTATATAATAACATTATGACTGTAAAGAAATAACAATATTTTTGTAATAGATATTGTTTTAATTATTAGTTGATGGAGTCTGTAAAGTATGACTGTCAATTTGTTTATTGAGATTTTACAAGACTTTTATTTCAACGAAGGAAACAATTTATCCATGTATTTTAGCTTGATAGCTTTTAGAGTTTTATATATAGTTCGGTTTATCTCTTAATGAGGGAGTTTGGATACACCAACTAGTTGCTGATTATTATGTATTTCTTAGTGATTCATTAACTGTAGTTATTCAGAGGAAACTTAATGGTTCAGGCAGTTGTGAAATGCACAGAAGTCTCTAGCTAACGAGCTTTCGTGTCTAGTAGCAACAGATCACTGATGCCTCCAGGTAAGAATCATGGGTTATCAAACAAACAGAAATAAAAGTTACTCATAGATTATGTTTAGTCATTAAGGATATGCTACGTTTTCAAGTGAACGACTGATGGGAATTTGTTTGGACCATGAAAACCTGTGCAGAATTCCCGCACCTGACTACTCGTAAGCAGTAAAAAGTATGCTTACAATCTGGTTTGTCTCTAGCTTCCGAGTATTCTCGTAAGGTTTGTGTTGAAATAGAGGGCATCAAAGGATGTTTTGGATAGTTTGTGCCTAAAGGATAAGGATTTGGTTACTTAAGGCGTTCATCGTAAGGCTTGAATTTGAGTCCTCTAAATGATTTCATTGCCTACCTTTTGGTTACTCTCCAGATTGCTCTTATTCTTTTGAAGTAAAGAAGGAAAAACTGTTTATATGGAACTAGGTCAAATAGAACTGTAGGAAATTGAGTTGAAAGTCCCATTGCTAAAATGGGCTTGGAAAATACTATTTCGGGGGTCAGTTGTAGTTGGAATATGATTTTAAACCACAGGAAACCAAGATATCTAGATCTTTTCTAGCTAGTTGCACTTTCAGAGAGGATTAACTAGGTTTTATGTGGAATTCGTCGAAAAATTACTCTTTGGTCTTCATAAAACGTCATATTAATTAAGTGATTTTTAAAGGTTATATATCAGTGTAATTTGAAATTACTTGATCACTCTATTTTACGATTAGTGATAAGGTTCTTATAGGTAAAAGACAAAATATTAATCAGTTTCATGAGAGCATGCTTATTTTCATGCGATTAAATGTGAGTTACCCTGTCATTTTAAAATCACTTATTTCACAACACTCAGTTCCCTTAACAAATATGAACAAAGCAAAGCCAACAAAACTTTAAGAGCAAAAATGAAGTTATTCTTAAAGCTCCGATTATCTGTTCTTCATAACCGCATGTTTTTTCACACATGAAAATAAGCATCAATTCTGACTATGTTCAGTAAGACGTCCTATATCCTGTTCCACTTTGATATTTAGCTCCTTTTCAAATACCCATCTCAAATCAACTAACTAAAGTGCGCCAAACCTTTAATATTTAATTGTAATAGGTCCTGAATTTTTAGGCTATCTGCAGACTTTTAGTAGAATGAATTCAGTTTTTCTTGTATAACCTGTTGTTTTCGCTTTCATTATATCTAAAGACAAGTTAAGAAAATAATTAAAGTGTGACTAACCTAATTCAGGACCAGAATCATCTGATGCGTGTTGGAAAGTCTACCAATCCTATCAAACCACTTAATCATGAAGCAATAGCTATGATGTGATAAGATATAAATTTACTTAGTTTAAAAGTCAAACGACTCAATCAGCGCAGAAGTTTAAAAAATACGGTAGTAGTGTTTAATTTTTTGAGTTGAATGGTTTAATTATGAAGTCTTTATTTTCTTTATAGGCAGTATCATATGCACAAAATTAAAATGAAGTAAGTCCCGAAAATTATTTCCTAACTGAAAAACAGCTTATGGAATTCGACTGAGTATCAACAGGGTAGTCTTCTGGCCACTTGTAAAGAGATTCTAGTAGCTCACTTCTTCTGCACTTCTTAATGAGGTCGATGAACATACCAATAGAACTTTGCCATTAAACTTCGCTCTTTATAATATTCAATAACATGTAATTCTTTTCGATGAGCAAAAAGGCGTCTTCTCAATCTCAACATGATATTTCTAGATACCCTTCACTTACTAAATATAGAGGATATATATATATATATATATATATATATATATATATATATATATATATGCATTTAAACTAACCTGTAAATGTCCCTCCAGCTAACAAAGATGGAACTGTTGGGTGAAATTTAATACACATTAGACAAGTATCTGCTACATATTTTTGCTGAGGAGTATTGATTACCAATGTTTCATTTGACACATTCCAAAGTGCAGCCATGCCATTATGTGTACACCAATCAGTATGAAACAATGATCCATATCTGTGATACGTTATGTTAAAGTGGTGAAGTAAAGCATTCGTATGGTAAACGACTGGCTTAGTTTTAAAGCAAGATTACATTTTAGTTGCAAAAAAACAGGTTCAACGTTCGAACCACTAAATAACTAAGTGACACCTAATTTAACCTTTTCCATAATTATAACTAGATGTTTTTGTTTATTATCAGAAGGGGCTTTGTAGGGATTTTAATAATTTCAACTGTTGAGATCATGAGTCAATTAAAGCTAGACCACCATGGAAAAGCTGGAAGCACTGGACAGCCGTTTCATTCTATTGTGGGACTCCTCAGCAGTTTTTGGTTCAATCTACCTCATATTTCTTTATTAATTATTCCTTTGTCAAAAGCTCACCCTACCATTTGAAACAAATTGTCAGCTAATAAATTAGGTTTAAAATAAAGAAAAAAGGATACGATATCGCTAATAGTGTCCCATTAGAGTTCCAAGATAATCCTGTAACAGATAACTAACAAATAGTTATTCATTAATTTATTATATTCACACTACTTTGGATTCTTTTGCTTCATTTAGAATGAGTGTATGTTTCACCGATGCATTATTTCTATAAAATGGTCTTCTTGACTGTGATTGTCTAAACACTTTGGAGTGGATATTTTTTTGTATCTCTTTTGTAACGATTGGCTCAGTACGTTTAAGAAAACATAATATTCTTGTTTCTTCAGTCAACTTATCGTTGTTAGTAAGTATGTCATTATGCAGTGTTTCATCTTGATGACAAAAGCTTGTTTGAAGCTGAAAGTTAGAGAGAAATCATCAAAATCACTATCAAGAAAAGCAATTACTTCTTGAGTTTTATACCGTCTCGATTGCGTACCACGATGAAACACTTGATAAGATTCCGTTTGCATTTGTAACTCGACAAATGATCTATAAGATTATTAATTGTGTAAATTTATTGATAAAAAACTTAGAACAATAGGTAATTATGCATCGTTACAAAATGGATGTAATGCATGCTAAAGTAGATACAAAATGGATATATTTTCGAGCTATATGAGTAGGCTTGAAACTAATTCAGAAATATAATTGCAAGCATTTTGTTCAGATGAATTACTGATGAATATTATTTTAGAAATGAAGTGTAAGGTATATGTAAATCATTAGTATTTGATGGTAGATGGTTTTAATATATTTTCCGCTCAGACTGGAGTCAAGAATGAAGTCAGGAATTATAAATATTCGAAGCAGGAAAACATATCTGGTGGGCAGTTGGCTTACAAAACATACATGCAACGAACCACTGAAAATTGATTTGACCAATGCATAGGTGTAAAACCTAACCAGTATGAGGTTTTGAGAATGTCAAGATCTGTGATTACAATTAAATAAAATGTAATCTCTTTGTCACTATCTACGAAAAAATTTGTTTTTGTTGTTACGCTTTTGCTCATATTCATCTTGGTTATATGACTTTTTCTCCATTAGTTTACACTTTATGTACCATAACAAAATATCGCCTTTTATTCAGGTTTATGCATTGATGATTCATTCCATTGTGATGATTTGAAAAACAGTCACCCCAGGAATTGAGAATATAAAAGTGTTCTGGTTTTATTTTATTCAGGGCTCTAGTTCCCTAACATTAAGAGTCCTTAGGCTCGACATATTGATTTTAAAGATGAAATTAGTAAAACAGTAGAACTTGTGTTTATCTAAAACTCATAATTTCAGTTTGATTTTGAAATTTGAAGACTTGCAAGATAACTGTCATTGCATTCTTAATTATAAGTTACCTTTGCAAAGAAGGAAGTAAATCACTGATAACCATGAGACCGTAACGCTTCTGGAAAAACATACTGGTGATACTTAAGATTTCTTTAGCTTTATAACTTAAGGAGAATAGTGGCTAGTAAATAAGCTTCTGAAACCAGCTTAAAGTTTAATACCGACCGTCGATTTTTAGAGTAAACCTAGTTTTCGAATTCACTTATTTAGTAACTTTGTAGTTTATTAGGAGTAGTCAAAGCGAGTTTTATATGTAATTTGTTCTGATTACGTATGCGTCCCAGCAATTTGTTTTGAAATAAATTCTTCTTTATAATAAATCCATATTTCAAGTTAAAAATAATCTTTCTCTGAAATCATTTTCTTGATTATAATTGACTTAGTGGCCTGAAATTTGAAGTAGTGTCAGCATCCCATGTCATGTCCTCATAATGAAGATGATCGAGTGAGTGTGTCTACGGATACACCACACTGATTTAGATGTATTCGCAACAAATGAAGCATTTAATTCAAGTGGTAAAGTTTGACAAAATTAATAAGTAACCTTGATATCAGACAAAATTGACCTTTGAGTATTGTGCACTACATGTTAGCTACGGATTATTGTTGAAAACGATAATACCAAAACTAAGTATTTTATTTTGCTTACAGCTTTAGTAGCCGTTTCTTCATTATTTACTAGTATAGTTCTCATAAGTGGTTATCACTCCATCAGTTTGAAACATATCCGACAAAGTTTATCCACCTATAGGTAAACGAAGTGTAAGAGATCATTTTTATTATGTTTTGACTTAAAATTGCCAAAAGATCATTTTAAAATCAGATACGGATAGCTTTTCATCTCATTTTCATTTAGCTCTTATACTGCACGCTAGTTCTAACGGTTTTGATTATAAGATTTCTAGGACCTAGTCGTTAATTAGCAATTGATTAGAAGTGAAGTATAATTTACACTATTATGATAAGTATGATCTCGCTTACTTGGTTTCTGAACATTGTGAATAACATTGAACCCCATGAACGATTTCATCAGTGAACTCTTGTATCATTATTAAAACTTGAAGTGAATAATGTATAAATAATTGACGTTATGAGTATCAAAATCAACAAACAATTATACAATGATAGAATATTCTTCGATGTGTCCATAAATGTTTAGGCTAATAAAGCCATGTAAAATATCACGGTTAAAAGTAAATAAAAATTTATATTCATATTTCCAGACACTGTTTTAGAGTTGATATAAGTGTCCTCTATCTTGCTGTAATCAAACAAACGTAATAATCGTTTTCAGGTGCTAAATACCGATTGTTTGATTATGGCGATGCAAGCCACTTAATGGAATAACCTATTAATGAAGGTGGTTGTGAAAAAACATTTACTCACGCTTAAAATTATCTTTTAGTATTAAAAATTTATTATATTACACTTCATACGTTAAAATCCGAAGTATATGCGAGTAAAACTTGCTTTTAAACACGGATATGAGCTGACTATATTATTTTCGTCATCAACCATTTGCAATAATATTAAATAATGTGTTGATTGCTTGAAATCACACTTTTAGACAGTAACTATGTAACTTACAGTAAAAGTCGAAAAATTGTATAAGACATTGGAAATTCTTCGTAATTATAAGAAAAAACGGGATATAGGATTCACTATAAATCTACATAAATTTTAGTTGCTAGTTTTTTCAGGAAATAACTTCTTCCCAATACAAAGTTTTACCTATCACGAAAGAAATAAGGGTCAAAAAGTAACAGTATTTTTAGGTCCAACTAAAAAACACCTGTCTGTTTATCATTCGAATGATATAATAAAGGCTTCACATAAGAAAACAGACCATTTGCCAGTTTAGTCGTTGCTTTTGAATGAACTACAGCTTATCCACTTCATATTTAAAACATAAGCTCGCTTTCCTATTCATACATTTAGGATATGGTTCCACATTTGTTGGGTGACTATTTTGAAAATATCTTCACCCAAGTTCCAAAATGCTTTGCATGTTCTCTACAAGATTTAAAAGCCTCTGAGACAACCGGCTTTGGTTATTTGTAGTTTTATGGTCGTCTCTTGCTATGACTCTCAACTTGTTATAACCTATATCTTCAGGTGAAGTCACAGCTGGTGATTGACATCACTACATATTTGCACAAATTTACCCCTAATTCATATGGTTCAAATGGTTGTGGGCGGAATAGAAGAAGCTTTTGCCTAACGGGCTTCCGTGTCTTGGATCAGAAGATCACTAATACCTTCAGGCTGGAACCATTTTCTGTTGGATTTGGATGACCACCGATTCTTTCATTTAACCTGAGCAGGTAAATATGCGTTTACTTCTATCTTACCAACTTCAGGGTGCTTTTTGCGAATGAAAAGACAATGTTTTAAATAAACCAATAATTCCTCATTAACAGAAGTTTAACTAAAAATTAATTTTTGTCTACAGAACCATCTACAAACGTTTCTAGTATAATCCAAAAACCGATGTGAGATCTGATCAAAGACTCAGCTTATATCCTCGAAAATGACATTTACAGGAAGAATTCGTTCCAAGGTATATCCGAATCTTTTCTTATGATGAGATTAATCTAATTCATCAGACATTATTGGGAATCTATCAAAAACCATGTTGCTTTTCCCCAAAGTCCAATTCGGGGTTTCCACAAAATTCACCCAAAATGGATAAACGTTTTCCTGATATTAGGAGATTGGGTTGAATCTGTAGGATCAAATTTGAAAAAAAGTAAGCAAATGAATAAGCAAGCAAATAGCATGAACCTACATTTGATAATGCGAACAGTCAATGATAGTTGAAACTATGAGTCAATTTGTCATTTTTTGAAATATGGACTAACAGAAATTGTATTTGTAGTTATGGCAACATATTTTGTTCAATATTAAAACTGTGCACTAAGGGACGAAATAATATATCAGAACTTGATTTTGTGTTCTAAGAGAACGTTACCGCATTTAAATAATGTGAATCTTTTCTTCAGGACCTCTTGACCTCTTGGACCACTTACTATTATCTTCTGGTTCTGATCTGCACCGGCGTTGGGATTTTGGTTTTTATTAAGATAGGTATTTGAAATGAGTTGGCCAGTTCCGTCATAACTGGTCGTTGTGGATCTACCGCTCGTATAGTTTGTACTGTTAGCGAGACCTAAATCTTCTTTTTCTCTTCTGTGGATTGCAGATCAAGATTAATCCACAACAGGGAGTGTTTTATTGGGTATTTTTGCCGTCCTCTAATTGGCCTTGGTTGCCTTTCACAACATTTTACGTGACTAGGGCGCCCGATAATCGAGCTTTACAATCCCGAAAGGTCTCAATTATGTCCTCTCTGTTTCTAAAGTTTATAGCTGCCAGACGCGGAAATGTAATGGTCGTGAAGTTCAACGGACGATGTCGCCTAGACATATTATGATAGTGAAGGGAAGGCCTATGTTAAGTGATAGCTGAGGCTAATGTTGCATATCATGTATGTGAATATCAACCTGACTGTTAAGTACTAGCTCAAGTACCCTGTGACCTACCACGCTGGTTGGCTCTTGAGCGTTCGCTGACCACATGGCGTGGTCAGTTACACACTATAGTTTGACTTCCCTAGCTCGAGTTTGAGTGGATAGCTCAACCGATGGTCTTTGGGATCTCAGTGAAATTTCATCTGTGCCATGTACTTAATCTCAGGTTTACCTCGATCGGAAGTACCTTACGCAATCTCCCAGGATTGTACAGTATTAGTCCCAACGCTCCATACTTTCTAATATGATACTCTTTAACATTGAAACACTAAAAAACCAAGTAGCTTCGTCTAACGTCTTTGTCTAAATTTTTACCGTTTCGGGAGTTATGCTTCAACCATTACACTTCCCAACACCCATCCAGCGCTGCTTATCATTATCAAATATATGGGTATTAACAACAACTGGTGTTTTCATCTGTGTATGACCTTGGATTGTAGCTACTATGGTTGCCTGTGTTGGTTGGGCCTGTGTTTGTCGATTCGTATATACTTGTGATGATTAGTACGCTCGCTTCCAGTGGGGTTTCATGCTTCGTTTCTCTTAATTGTTACGGTGAATTTTTCCTACACCGTGAGCAGGTGTACGAGAAAAGGTGGACTTGGCATAATCCCATAGAACTGGTAAGGTGCTGTTCTATCACTGCGACAGTGAACACGGCATTTACAGAAATTATATTCAGACGCTGAGTCTACGCTTCCAACAAGGCAAGAGCATGCTATGTCACCACCGATTTTATGTTGTTTATTCCTATTATTCGGCACCACGGTAGCTTAAGTCAACTTTTTCTCTTTTTAATTTTTGCTTACTGGTCCTATTGACAGTAGGTACTCGGATAGAAGAGTGGTCCGGATTACGGAGTTGGATATCCAATTTTGATGTTTGAGCTGAGAAAAACATAAAGTTTGGTTAAAAAGAGACCTAAATAAAGGTTAAAATATAGGACAGGAAGAAACAAACTGACCATTATACCATCCAACGAAATACTATGTAGGGATTTTCAGGTTCTTCTTTCCGTCACCCCGGCTACAAGATTCTTCCGGCTACCTAGAGACACCTCAGAATACGTTCAGTCACTGAACGTAATAATACTCTATATCAACTGGAAGCAAAAGACTTAAAACAGTACACGTGTGCACTCATAAACGTAACATACAATTTGCAGTTATTTGACTCTTTCTGGAAGACAAAAGCTTTCGCAGCTTCCCATATATTTCCTTTTGCCCTAAGACTAACGAACTAAGTTCGGTTCAGACAGCCTACAATTAAGGACCTGTCTTGGTGACGGACGGCACATGATGGTTATGTATATCATATATCTTTCGAGCAATGCTGGAGTGATGGAAAAGAGAAGAAACAGTTTCTTGTGGCACACAAGCCTCATTTATCAAAAAGTGGAATATAATCCTCTAAGCACAGTATAAAGTTATTCAACCACACGTACTCGTGTGTTAATAATGGTGACGAAGATCAAAATTATTGTTTAGAATGTAACCGTGAGATAGGTATCAAACACATTCTGAGTTATTTTCCAAGGCAAGTGATGAATTATAATGCAGGACAAGAATAGCATTCGTGGTATTGGTAAGCAATCCATATGTATTAGAACTCGGAATTTAATGTGACGATCATTTTTTCATTGTTTTCTGAGAAGAAGAAGCAGATTCCATCGGGCTAAAGCGCAAAAGTTCCTTGGCAGTGGAATTATTTCTATCTTTTTCCGTATTTCTGGTAGGAGATTTGCTTAAAACAACTAATTTCATATATTCATTGATGAATGAAGCGGAAAATCAGCACATTTCGTAAGAGGAAGATTTGGAATGTTGGTAAGCAGTAAAAATTGTGACAAATCATGCAACTTCAAACAATTTAAAACACCAACTATGTGGTGTGTGCTACTGATGTCGACAGATGTGATTAGTATGTGTTGCCAATCGAAAGTGAAATGCCTGGGGGCATAATGTTAAGAAGATCGAAGAAAAGAGAATGAGAACAGAGAATAGTTGGTGTGTAAAAGAAGGAACAATCAAGTTTGAGACGATTTATTGAGATTTTACAAATGAAGTGTTGATTATATTTTTCTCTGATTTTACTACGACATTCTATAATTTTGTACACAAATACACTCGATTGTATTCACTGGTGTTCTTGTTTACTACAACTTCAGTAATACGTAAGAAACAACTTTTTTTCAAACATGTAGAAGTAGAAGACATGATATCATATCTTTAATGTATACGAGACCTATTTTAGTCTCAATGATTCAGTTGAGTGTTACCAGTAATCAATTTCTTACCAAATTCTTCAAATGTTTCCTCATATTTAAATAGTATTTACAAGTTACGAGTTATTGAGCATATATTTAACTTAGAGGTGATAAATAGACTAGGTTTTGATTATCCAGAGATGTAAGAAAGTTATAAACGTATGAAATCTGATAATAAATATTGGTCAGAAAGATAATCGCTAAAGGCATTAGTAACGAATTTGGTAATAGTCCAGGTAAATTACGCTCTGGA